TTTTTTTAAACACATTTCTCTCTTGAATGCCGAACACAAGAGTTTCACTGCTGAGAGGTTGCAGCTCTGAAATCGGTATATGTGAATTTTTAGAACTCATAAATCAGCAAATGATTTTCTGTCATAAAATAATTTATTTATCGATTTTTTAAAACACAGTTTTCTCTCTCTTGAGAGCCGAACGCAAGGGTTGGTTTCCCTGCAAAGAGGCTTACTGCTAAAAAATAAAGTGGTACATATTTTTGTAACACATTAATATTGGAAGTATATGGTTAAATAAAATTGTAGATTTAATACTTTTTTCCCTGATCAGTTCTCTCTTGAGCTTAAACTAGTTTTGGGTTTATTTCGAGAATGTGGAATGAAGCTCAAAAATCAAAACTGGACTGATTTAAGAGCTCAAAAAGAGCTAATTATGTACCCGTGATCAATGTTTTGCTGTTAATTTTAAGGGGCGGGGGGCTGAGTGGACGTCTCCCCTCTTTACATCAAAATTCCTGCTAACGCAGATAAGCTCAAGATTTTTAACTTGCGGGGTTTGAATGTTCATAAATAGCTCTTAATTTTGAACTACTGAATTTTTTGTTCCTGCATATTTTTTAAATAATTTAGATTAATTTTTAGAAAATTTATAAGAAAAGCTACGCAATTTCTTATATTTCTGTTTTTATTTTTAAACTGTAAAATAAAAATCCCCGAATTTTCCTCAGATTAAAATCCAAATTTGCACTTGCCATTCTTTGTTAAAAGAACTGCGCTTTTATTACCTGTACATATATAATTATTATGGAGGTCCGAAAAAAATGACTTTTTGAATATTGATTAGTATAATACCTCTCAAAAGTTAGCTACAATATGGCTTAGGTAAAGTTTTATCGAAATCAATTAATACTTTTAAGTTGCCTCTTGATCTTGAAACCAGTAAAGGCTAAATCGATTTTTCGAAATATTTCGAAATTTGCGTAAACGTTGAATATTTTCGTAATTGTGTAAAAATTACCTATAATCGTTTATACCTTGAAGAATTCCAGCAAAGTTTACCCGCAATAGCAAGTAAAATAATGCACGTGTTGATAACGAATGCTTAATAAAGAGAACATATATGTTGGAAGGTAACGCGTTATTTGTAACGCCGTTACCATTTTCATTACTTTTTTTCGACGTTTAAATTCGTTACCGTTACCATTATAGATAGAAAAAAGTAACGATTATTAATTTTTTTTATATTTGTAACGGTGACGAATTTAAACGTTGTTATATTTTTGCACTAACGCTAACGAATTTGCCGTTTCTTTTATCGTTATTTATTATACTTTCAAATACATCTTAGGGCTCGTAAAGAATAAATCAACAATAGAGAAATAACACTAATGCGAGCCAACACAAATATACTGGTGTGTAATAATTTTTACAATATCTAGCCACACGCAAACTTGATTTAATTATTTGTTTTTCACTATATTATTTTTGTCAATAATTCGTATACAATTAGATATTATTTATGCTATTTTTTTAACGTGTAAAATAATTTTAAAAGAACATCCTTCTATATGTTGTTGAAATTAACAGAATCGTGTCAATATATAAAATTAACAATGTTAGATATTCTTTTCCTAAGAAATCTATTGCAAGAAAGCAAAAAGTTAAGACGCAGTTATTAGACATAATAACTATAAGGATGGAGGCCTTTATTATGGCGGGTATGGAGCTTTCCAATGAATCAGAGCTCAAAATTTAATTTTAAAAAAGTATTTTAATTTTTGACAAATTTTAAGAACGGACCTCACACAAAACCACAGGTTTTTGGCCTTTTTGGAACATAAATAATGATAAATGTTGTAAAAAAATACAACACTTGTAAATAATAATATGTTGTAATAAAATACAACACTTTAAACAGCAGTAACAAAAAGACTAGACATTTTAAATTTTTGTGCTTGTGAGAAAACTCGATCAATGAATCAAAAACTATAACATACTAAAGTTTCAGCCAATTTCACCAGGGCCATAAATCTATGGTTTTGACTAGAAAAAATATATTAAAAGAAATTAAATATGGAAAAACATATATAGAAAATATATACATACAGCAAAAGCTAGTAAACCAAATACTTGTGTATGTTATTGAAACCACCCTTTTCCCCGCTTGGATGAGGTACTTTACACCCAAAAAAGTAAAAAATCTCCGTCTCAGATAATATTATAACAATTTAGAAATAGACATTTCCTTGTCAAGTCTATTACAGGTATTTGTAATTTCTTTTTTTCTTTTAGTAAATTATGCTATAAGTACATATCAAACGCAAACAATAGAGGTAATTTAGAAGAGATTGGCATGTACCGATGAAATAGACGAAGAAAATAAGAAAGTGATTGAAGAACATTTCATAGTTAACCGGATCTTGATTGATAAAATTTATCCTCTATAATACTTCGTCTGCATACATAGCTATATGTAACAGCTACGCACGCAGATGTCGAAGTATTATCAGACATTGTCAAGGCTAGGCTAAATTGTCCTAAGTTTCGAAACTTGCGTAAACAGTTTCTGCGTCTGTTAACTGCGTAAAAAAATTGTTTATAATCGATTATACCTTGAAAGAATTTCGCAAAGTTTGTTGCGACAAAATGTAGAATAATGAATGTTTGATAACGAATACTTGATAAAGAGAGCGTGTAAAAAAGAAACATATTACATTTTTTTATATGCTCTATAATCCAAGGTTTTTTTATAATGTTCACGAATCGAATTATTTAATATCAAGATTCCGTAATATGACCGTGAAATATAGATAAACACAATTCGAGAACCAGAGTAAGAAAACAGATTTATATGTGTAACGATACCTGTTTGCACGACCGATTCACGGAACCGCGGACAACTTAACAATTTCAAAATTGCAGACGAAATAACGAAGGTCAACCCAGATAAACTATGTCTGAGAAGATGAATATAACATCTGTTAACTGCGTCAAAAAATTGTTTATAATCGATTATACCTTGAAAGAATTTCGCAAAGTTTGTACAGCATTACATAACTACACAGCAAATTAGTAACAAAAACAGAGCAAGCTTTGCGTAATGTTGACAACGCTTCTAACAACAAATTATGAGATTACCGTTATTGAAAAAGCATCACCTATTCTGATCCCTAAAAATAGACAAATTTCAAGAAAGTGTAACTTTGTAAAAAATGATGTTAATAAAATGTCATAAAGCATTCTACAGCTTAAACTTTCTACTTTTAAAATTTATAATTCATTAAACAACTTACTGATTTTTTACGAAGCTATAAGGATGCAAATGGAGATCCATCAAATTTAAAATTATTTACTAACTTTGCAAAGTTCCATATAGCGTAAATTAGAAATCGCATACAAATGCGACATTGCATACATCGTTCGAAAGCGTGAATCTTTATCTTTAATTTGCGCATTTCGAGAGCGTTGTGTGATTTTTTTTCACCGAGTTATTCAACATTGAAACAAATTAGTCTTTATGCTTCAACATTGAATATTTCGGTGACAAAAAAATCGCACAATGCTCAATGAATGTGCAAATTAAAGGTAAAGACATACGTTTTCAAATGCTTTAAACTGCATTTGTATGCGATTTTTAATTTACGCTATGGAGCTTCGCAAAGTTAGTACACGGAGAGAATTTTTTTAATTTACCTGCAAATCATGTTAATTGTGGGACAATATAGTATTTAGAAAAATTTTACTGTGCACTACAATAAGATTTTGCAGTAAAATTTATTGTAGTGCACAGTAAAATTTACCTAAATACTATATTGTCTCACAGTTAATATGATTTTCAGGGTAAATTTTAAAAGAAAATTCTCTCCGTGTAGGTACCAAATTTTTAGATTTGATGTATCTTCATTTCCGTATGTGTAGCATTGTAAAAAAATCAGTAAGTCGTTTAATGAATTATGAATTTTAAAAGTAGAGACTTTAAGCTGTTGAATGCTTTTTGGAACATTTTCTTACAATAATTTTTTACAAAGTTACACTCTTAAAATTTTCCTATTTTTATGGGTCAAAATAAGTAATGCTGTTGAGTGTATTTTAAATTAAAATATTCGATTCTGCTGGGAATATTCTAATTAATTTAAAGATATATCAAAAGTATTTTCTCCTTATTCTCGATATACCAGCGATTTTCTAAGTATTATGCTTATTACATATATTGCTTCTTTAATGCAAAAATATTATTTATTTCTCGTACTAACAATAATAGTGTACACATAAATAACGTCACAAATGATTATGATATGTCCGAACTTTGATTAGATATAGATTATATGTATATAGAACTTTACAAATTTTAAATTCAAGAAACAAATATCAACAAACACTCTATAGTGGCAAGCTTGCAAGTATTTCTGCAGTGACAGCGCAAATCCTGTTCGCTTGCATAGTTTCTGGGGGGCGAAGGAAAGAAGGGAAATTTGTCGTCGCAAATTTTTTGTTTGGCTTTTTTGGTGTCTAATAATATATATTATAATTTGTCCGTATTTTGCCGCCGATTAATTGCTGTCAAATTATATGTATATCAGCAAATTTTGTGTGTTCGGTATGCAGTTATATATGCACAGCTACCAGTACTGAAAATTAATAGTATACTTAATTATAAATTTTCAGATCTAGCAACCCAGGAAAAAAGTTCTATATATATAATTATATATAATTATATGCAAAATATGTCCATATATGTTTCCTTCTTATTATCAATTTTGTATTAAAGAATAATTTTACAAAGGAAAGAAACATATATAAACATTTTGCATATAATTATATATAATTATATATATGGAACTTTTTTTCCCGGGAATGTATATCGGAATATACACATATCAGTCTTTGTTACATTAACTGCTAGTATTTTGTTAACATTATCAGATGAGATTTTGTATTAAATTTGTATTCTTTTTTCCAACAGATCGAGTTTGTATAGCAACATTTTACAATTAAGATCTATATTTTTGACAGACTTGGCAATGTGTTTAGTCAAAATCATGTCAAGCTTTTCCTGATGGTTGACCGATGCGAATAACCGCGCGACAAGATATATTTTAAGCGATTGGTTTTACAGGGTTTCGCGTAGCTCGAAAAATTCAACGGGGAGGTAATCAAAGAACGATGACATTAATCAACGATTTTGACTCTACCGAGGATAACAAATATCACTATATTAGATTTATATAATTATCGTCTGCAGTGAAAAGTTTACATTATTTTTCAATTTTCGCAACGGATACACATATATTTTTTAATTTTCACAACGTTTGCTGTATGTACATTTATACGTGTATATGATATGTATAGCAAAAATTAAAAAATATAAAAATGTATAAATTTTTTACTGTCAATAATGGATCGATTTGGTCATCGTAAAACGATCGATCGTGTTTGTTATCCTCGGTACAGCCAAATGGTTGGTAATGTTATCGCTCTTCAATTATCCCCAGGCCCACTGGGACCCACTTCAGCCCAACTTGGCTTCCAGTTACGAAAATTTACCCGTGACCGACCGTGTCTTTAACGATATATCTCGTCGGTGTGGCCATGGCAAACGACAGACGATCCAAATCACCACCGACGAGGTACTTTTAAGACGATGCCGGAAGGTCCGAAAAATTTGCACGAGGTCGATAAAACAGTCTGTTCAATTTCAATGGTGGTTTAAATAAACTTCTTATAATATCTTCTGTTTCAGTCAAACACGTACATTGTCCTTATCAGATCGGAAGAGCACACGT